GCTGTGCTATACAGACAGGGCAGTGACCAGTCGACATTGACTCCAGGGCACACAGCATCAGCTATGACTTTCTAAGGAGTGCTGGTGGTGCAGTGGTTAAAGCACTCTGCTGCTCACTCAAGGCAGGGTGTTTGACTGTACCAGCTGTTGAACAGGAGAAAACAGCTGTGGACCTGCTCTGGAAAAGAGCCCAGCCCAGTGGTTCTCAACCTGTGGATTGCGACCCCTTTTGGGGTTGAACGACCCTTTCCCAGGGATCGCCAAATTCATAACAGTCGCAACATGACCGTGAGGAAGTAGCAACGGAAATAATTTTATGGTTGGCGGATCACCACCACATGAGGAACTGTATGAAAGGGCAGGGGGCTTAGGAAGGTGGAGAACCACTGTACCAGCCTTAGAAACCTTGAGGGGTCACTCTGAGTTGATGTTGACTTGATTGCATCCAACAATGACCTTTAATAGCTACGTTGACAGGTGGAATTTTCAGTGCGTATTTGACCCTGTTGAACATGTTCTTCTCCTCAGAACGTCGCTGTCCCTTAGACTGATGACATGGCACGGTCTTCCCTCCTTCACGTCTCTCTGGCTGTTCTCTTCAGCCTCTTGGCAGTCCCCTTTTCCAGGAGGGTTAACATCTCTCAAACGACTTGTCCATTTTCTGGAAACAAACAACAAACAAAACCAACTTCATCGTGGCTCCCATGTCTGTATTTTCAGCCAAACTTTCCCCCAGGTTTTAAAGCTAGATATCTGATATAGTTTATTATGCCAGCCTGGCTGATAAATACAAGTAGGATTAACTGAAGGGCGGAGAGATAATGGCTCAGTGAGCCTCATCTTTCTTGTCTCTTGCTCTTTGATCATCGGACCAGTGTGCGGCTACCTTGCTCGTTTTTTGCCTCAATTTATAGGCTACACTACCTGTTGGACGCCTAGCCTGTGGACTGTGTCTCTGTAAGTTGAGGTCCCTTTAAGGCATCTCTGGAGCTGGGGATTGGCAGTTGGGACTGGTGGTCAGTTGACAGTTGGTGATCTGCCTTGTGATTGGCTGCTGTGCTGAGATAGCCTCACTCTATAAATAGGGGGTGATCTGGCAGCAGAGAGAGAGAAGGACTGCTAGTCTCTCACAATGCTGAGCCATTTGTAGTGCTTATAATTTAACTGTTCATTTGTTATATTTATCTGTATATAATTTAACAGTTCATTTCTTGTTATATATCTAATTATCTTTATAAATAAATATATTTAATTATCAGCAATTTGGTTTTATCTCTCTATAGAACCCTGTCTAACACATTTTGGTACCAGGAGTGGGGTGGGTCAATCGTTTCTAAGGGCTCAATAGCCTCCTCTTCTGGATCATCAGCCCATATGTTCCCATCCCATGTTTCAGGATCCCAACTTTTCCCGATCAATGTTCTCACTTTGGCTTCAGACACTGCTCTAGATCTGCAATTCAGCTGCCGTTGTAATTCAGCCACTCGCATAATGAGACTCTGGACCTGGTTCTCAGCAATGTCAGCTCTTTTGCTAGAGGAGAGAAGGCTCTCCTTTGTAGCGTAGGTGGAAGTTTTCAAATCCGTTAGTCTGCACCTCAGGCGTGCTTCTGAGGCTCTGAGACTATCCCTCTCCTCAATCACACTTTCCATTGTAAGAAGGACCAGCCAACCAGCTTCCCTATACTTGTCACCCTTTCAAAACTCCTGGAAAATATCAAACATACGATCATTCAGAGCCTCTCCTGTAACCTATCCAACTCACAGCGTGGCTGTGAGTTGGAATCCATGGGACTGTATGACGCCAAGCTATTTTCCATCAATTGCTAACCTAAAAGTCGATGGCTTGAGCCACGGTTTCTTCCCTGGAAGAGAGGCCTGATGAACTGCTCCCACTGAGGTCATAGCCAAGAACGATCCTTGATGCTCAGCTTCCTCTGTCTCACAGAGGGGTGCGTAGGTGGCCCACTGACAGTACCAGCAACCTGAGTGCTGACAAACGTGTGCCATCCCTATAACCACAAGTAAGATATGAACTAGTGCCATCAGCTCAGAAAACTCTCTTGTGCCCCCTTGAAAGCAGCCTTCTTCTGATCCTCGTCACTGGCTTCTGTTGTTGGTAGTCTTGCTTTTCACTGAATGGCATATAAATCGAATTATAGTCTGAAGACTTTGAATCAAGCACCTGGAAGTGCATGGTAAAGTGCTTGCTGCTGGCCCAATGGCTGGCGGTTCAAACCACGCCAGAGGCTCCCTGGGAGAAGAACTGGACAGTCTGATTCTGTCAAGATTACAGCCTAGAAAAACACGTGGGGTCACGATGAGCGGCTCTCACTCAGACCCAAACCCAAACCTGCTACCATCAAGTCTACTCCAGCTCATAGCAACCTGATGGGACAGTGTGGAACTGATCATAGGATTCCCCAGGACGTAGCTCTTTGTGGAGGAAGACCATCGCGTCTTTCTCCTGTGGAGTGCCTGCTGATGTCGAACCACATCGTTCTTAGTTAGTAGGGGTTCTGAGGCTAGAAATCCTCCCAGCACCTTTCTCCTGAAGAGGGGCAGATGTGTTTGAACTGCCGGTGGCCGAAGAGCTGCCAACCTTGCAGGCAGTAGTACAAAGCTTAGTAGAATAGTCCTGAAAACACCCTCCCTTAAAGTAAAAAGGAGATTAAGAGACAGGGGTGAGGCAGGGGTGGGGAGGCGGGGCTCCACCTGGAGGTCACCCAGAAGCAAGGACGTTTCTTGCACGCCACCCTCCATTCTGACTTCCAACATCCCAAACTGTGAGAAACTACTGTCCTGATCTTTAAAGCGCTTCACTGTGGTATTTCTCTTATAGCAGCAACTCACTGCCATGGGCCCCACCCCCGTCCATCACTTTTGGGGGTTTGTTGTCCTATTACGAGTTTTTATGTATTGTAAATGTCACTCCTTCTTCAGATTTGTGTTTTGCAAAAACCTTTCCTTAGGCGATGCTTTCTCTCTTCATTCTCTTAACAATGTTTGATTTTTGTTGGTCTGAACTCTTCATTTTGCCATCACTGTAGATTTGCAGGCAGTTGTGAGAAATACTACAGAGAGATCCCGGATGCCCCAGTCTCCCCAGAGTGAAATAGCACAAGCAGGAAACCGGCATTGGTACAGTCCATCGATCTGAATTGGTTCTCACCGGTTTTGCATGGACTCCTTTGGGTGTTCTCTGCCGTTCTACGTCACATGGTGTGATAGTTGCATAATCAGGTGTCAATCTGGGACGTAAGAGGATTAAGAGTGAAGAGGTGGAATCTACTCTGTCAACCGGGTCATAGCCAATGAGGCTTCTGTGTGGGCATGGCCTTCCCCTAAGGATTCTGGGAATTCCAGTATTTCCCCCTTGGAAGCAGGAGACTCCCTCTCTTTGCTGAATCCCTGTCAGACATCCCTGAGGAGAAGCCACTTGGACCTACCTGATGCAGCCCTGGGAGCTGGAGAAGCCACGTGGAGACCCCTGCAAGTGCTGAGATGCTTACACGGCCACTGGATCCAAAGACTTTCTACCTCCTGGCCTGTGATCATCCTACATTCAGCGTCATTGCATGTGTTTCTTGAGTCTGAAGAGGACTTTATAAATTGGTATCAGACATAATGGGCTAATATCGTACTTATGGGCTTGGACTGGGTTGGGATGCTTTCTTACTGTACAATTACCCTTTATATAAAACTCTCTCTTCAACACATGAGTTTCTATGGATTTGTTTCTCTAGTCTACCCCCACTAACACACATGGAGACTCATGTTACTGGCAACCACGGCTGTCCAGATACACAGCAGCTCATCAGAAGGCACCTCAATCTCCTCCCCACCTGCCTAACCCCTGGCAACCACTCACCTGGGCTCCATGTCTATCGTTTGGTCATTCCAAGAATGTTACATAATGAAATCCTACCCTCATGGAAACGTTGAGTCTGGCTTCTCTCACCCATTCCGGACATTCATCCAAGGGGATACATGTTATCAGTAGTTCCTTCATTTTTACTGCTCGGGATCTTTGAACCATTCATTGAAGAATGTTGTTTTCAGTTTGGTGCTATGAGGAAGAAAAACGCCACGAAGAATGGTGTGCAGGTTTTTGTCTGAACACAAGTATTCGTTTCTCTGGGAGAAAGGCCCCAAAATACAATTGCTGGGATGTATGATAACTGCATGTTGAGTTTTGTAAGAAACTGCTAGCCTGGTTTCCATAGAGGCTGTACCTTTCTTTCTTCATAGAGTATACATGCCCACCAACAGTGGGAGTGAGTCCATTTCTCTGGCATCCCCGCCAGCATTTGGTGTTATCGCTCTTTATGTTTTAATCTTCAATGATCCGGACAGGTGCGTCGTGATAGCTCCTTTGGTTTTAATGACGAGCACCTTCCATGGGCTAACCTTATCTTCCAAGGAGCCCAGCCTTGCTTGACATCGTCACTGTGCCGGAAACAGTCCCCCCTGGCTTCAGTTTGGTCGTCTTCCAAACCATTCTCCAAAGTTGGATCAAGTGACCTCCCACAGAACCCACGCTTCCTCCAACACCGTCCCTTGGAATTGCCTGCTGATAATCTGTCCTCTTCAAGCAGGTGAGGGCAGCTTTGCTCCGCCCAGGAACCCCAGCTGGCCTGTAGCAGAGGTAGAAAGACCTAAGTGGTAAAATGGCATGAAGGTACAGAAAACAAGAAAAAGAAAGGATGGATAAGGGACCGTGCACGTCAGTGCTGCGAGCCCCATCGGTCCACTGCGCCAGCCCCTTTCAGCCCGGAGCCCGGAGCCTTGGCCGGACACAGGGCTCGCTCTCTCCCAGCCCCGCTCCAACGCCCCCACGCCCCCACCCCGCCCCTCGGGGCCGCCTCCCGGGCCCAGAAGCCAATTAGGGGGAGAGGGCGGGGTCTTGGTTGTCGCGGTGCTCCTTGGGTAGTGTCCCTAGTTACTGTTGCTAAGGCTGCGGGTCGCTGAGACGGGAAAGTTTTGGGAGGCCGGGCCGGAGGGAGGTCAAGGGTCAGTGCCGAGCCGTGGAGGAGATGGTGAAGCAGACGATCCAGATTTTCGCCAGGGTGAAGCCCACTGTCCGGAAGTACCAGCAAGGGGTACGGGCCGGAGCGCGGAGGTCGCGCTGCGGCGGGGCCTCGGGCCGGGGTGGGGGAGGGGCTGCCCGCGAGGGGTCGGTCCAGGTGGGAGGCACCTGGTCTGGCGCTGGATCCTGCTGGGCGCACCGACAGACGCAGATGTCTGTCGCCGCACGGGGGTGGAAGCTGGGTTTAAGTGCATGCGTGTCTGAGAAGATGCAGCTAGAGCTACGCAAAGCGCACACTGGGGCTCGTTCTCTCTACAAAGTGGGCCCTGAGTAACGTGAGGCAGGTGACATTCTGCGGCAGAAGCAGGGACCTTGACGGAAGTACATTGCAGAAATAGTAGGCGAGCCTTTGCTGGGCTCCGGGGCCTAACGGATGGCTCCTGTTCTACTTTACCTGTTTCTTAGACGAGGCAAAACTGGGTCTGGAAAAGAATGTAGTTATTCTTAACACTTCTTGAGAAATGGTCTTGTGGCAGGCGCTTGATCTTCATTTTCTCTGATTCTTACAAGAACCCTGCCAGGTGGGAGCCACTTGTTTCATAGATACAGACAAACAAAAAATGCAAAACCATGAACTCACTGCCATGGAGTCGATGGCCACCCCTGGTGACCCTATATGAACGGTCCCTGCGTTCCTGGGACTGCTTATGGGAGTACAAAGCCTCATCTTTCTCCCACTGACCAGATGGGGATTTTTCATGGTTGACCCCACAGTGAGTAGGCCACATGCATAACCACTACATGTGACCAAGCCACCTGAGTGGTGGATGGCGGAACTGCCCTTTGAATTAGGTCTTGGTGGCAAGGGAGAAAGGTGGCGAACAGTTCTACCCTGCTGTCTAGGGTCGCTAGGAGTCCTCGTTGACTCAATGACAGAGAATTTGGTCTGGTTTTGGTTTTTGATTGCAAAGCTATTTGCATTTCTTACAAAACCTTCCAACGTGAGGATTTAGGCAAGGCAGCTTAAGTTCAATCAAACGGCATTGCTGCTCGGCTTCTAGTTCCTGTAGTATGGTTTATTCCCAACAAGACGTGCACGTATGCATGCCTCAGCCGAGTGGTCTAGACTACTTGTCTTAGTCTTATTAGACTCCTAGCGACCCTGTAAGACAACACAGAAATGCCCTTGTGGGTTTCTCAGATGGTCAGCCTCTATGAGAGTAGCAAGCCTCATCTTTGCCGAGAAGCAGCTGGTAGTTTCAAACTGCGACCTTGTGATTAGCTGCCTAACACCTAACTCATGGCACCACCTGGGTCTCTAGGAGTCAGAATTGATTTGTTGCCTGTGAGTCGTCGATTTTGATTTTGCAGTCTTATTAAGAGTGCCTTCGGGGAAAACATCCCGTCAGAGAGGGGCCTCAGAGGGGCCAGTTAACAGAAAGGTCAGGTTAGAAGGTTTTGGTGATGGTTTTTGCGACTCTAAGCGGGTAATCTTGGTCAATTTTCTCGAAGAATGCAGTACAGTCATGAAGAAGTTTTAAGAGAGTTGAGAACTGCATTGGGGAGAATAAAGCCAGGGAAGTTTTGATGAAGAATTATTTTTCACCATCATGACAGTGCATGTCCTAGAACACCATTGGAAAACCTTACATTATCTGCCCGACAGCTCTGATCCTGCCTCTCCAAACTTCCCTTTGTTCTCCAACCTCAGAGTCCCTTGAGGATGCTAAAAATGCCATTTTGATGTGGTGTTCACGAAAGAGTGCAGGATTTTTCCAGAAAGATGTAGAGAGATGGAGGCTGTGTACGGAAGCGTATAGACCTAAATGGAGGACATGCTGAGAAACAATAGCTTAACACTTAGATGTTTGTAATATAATGAAGGTTTCTGTGATTGGGGGGGGGGCTTATAGCCTCATTGTGGAGCAAGGGGTATCATGGATGGCATTAGATAGATCTTGCCTTGGGGTGGGGGGTGTGGAGAGTACCAGAAAGATGCTTGCTTGTGTCTTGTGGATGATGCTAAGACATTTGACTGTGTAGATCATAAAATGGGGTGGGGGTAGGGGGGTGGGTTGTTATTCCATTTTAAAGAAGTGGAATTTCAGAACATTTAACTGTGCTGGTGCAGAACCTGTAAACAGACCAAGAGGGGATCGTTCAAGTGAAACAAGGGAACATTGCATGGTTTAGAATCAGGAAAGCTGCGCTTCAGGGCTTCTCCCCGTACATCTTCAACCTGTAAAAGGAGCAAATACTCGGAGAAGCTGGAGTGTATGAAGAAGAACCTGGCACGAGGGCTGGAGAAAGGCACCTGAGAACCCTGTGATATGCAGATGGTACAGCCCTGCGTGCTGAAAGCGAGGGGGACTTGACACACTTGCTGAGGACCACCACAGACTGCAGCCTTCGTTATGGATTATAAAGTGATGTGAAGAAAACAAAGACCCTCACAACGGGGCCAATGGACAACAGCACGATGAGCAGAGAAAAGAGAGAAATTTGCAAGGATTTCACTTTCCGTGGATTCACCCTCGTTGCTCATGGAAGCAGCAGTCAAGAAATCAAAAGAGACGTATGGCATTGGGCAAATCTGCCGCAGCTCTTCTAAGTGGTGAAGAGTGAGGACGTCACTTGGAGGATTACGGTGTGCCTGACTGCAGCCATGGTATGTTCAGGCCCCTCGTGTGCTCGTGCACGCTGGACGGTGACTAAGGAAGACCAGAGGAGAAGGGACGCATTTGAATGATGGCCCCGGCGAGGAATGTTCAAAGACTGTTGGAAGAACCAGCAGACCTGTCTTAGTGGAAGCACAGTCAGAACCCCCTTAGAACTGAGAATGGCCAAACATTGTCTCATGGGCTTTGCACTTGTTATCAGGGCAGACCAGTCCCTGTAAAAGGGCACCGGGTTTAGTAAAGTAGAGGGGCAGGGTCAAAAAAGAAGACCCAGGCAAGGTGGATTGAGACAGTGGCTGTAACAACGGGCTTGAACAGAACAATTAGGAGGGCAGGACAGGACCTGCTATGCCTAGGGGCCCTGTCCGTCAGAGGTGACTGGGTCGCATCCAACAAAAACAGTGGTTTTGTTGAATTCACCCTTGTATTAGTAATAGTTTACCTCCTGGCCCAAATCTTTAACTTTCCTCTACCTGGTAGGATCATCTCATAATTCAGTATTTTCCTAATGCCATGCCCAGTATTTAAAACAAGGACAAGATTGTGTCTCCTTCACCATCACCATCAGTCCTCTTGCTCAGGGGATGCATTAGGAGAAGGAGCGTGTGAAGATCCCAAAGGCTTTTCTGTCTTTTTCAGAAGAAAAAGGAACCACGAGTTTTCCTCCTCTTAGGCAAGCTGAACAAGAAGGGAGTTTAACTTCCTTTTTTTTAAAAAAAAGAATTCTATCATGTGTGACCTTGCTCCTCTCCCATATTCTTAGCTAAAAATGTCGAGCTGAGCTTACCCAGACTCAACACTCAGAGGCAGGTGTTTGTCAATATAAAGAGCACGCGTGGGGGATGTGTGTGTGTGCGTGTGTGTGTGTAGAAGTTTAGGGGGCTGATGTTTAACCTTGTGCGCAATATTGAATTTTCCCTTTCCTAAAATTACATTATTTAAATATCTGCACATGCTTTCTGTCACATTTCTTTGGTGAGAGCCTGTGGGATGGATTATTAGATTCTCCAGTGGTTATTTTCAGGGGTCACATGAGATCTTCGTAATGTCAAATTTTCCCAGGCGAAGACCAGTATCTCTCTCTCTGGTGAAAACATGGCGACTATTGAATCAATAGATTCACCTCCTCTCTTAGAAAGCTCACGTTTCAGCTCCGTATCTTTTTATCCCCTGCAAAAGTTGGACATATCGTTGTGCCTATTATTGGGAGCCCAGAGTGACTGGAAGATGTTTTCTTTCTGGCCTTGTCATTTTGTGACTCCGTGACTTTATTGGTCTCATTCCCGAAGGTACTTTAAAAGAAACTGCAACCATTTATAGGTCAATAAGGAAGATCTGTAAGATGCCCTTTGGTGATTTGAACAATGATGATGCCTCTCTTTTCAATTTTGGACAGCGTTTTTTACATTTCCAAACATGTTCACAATCATGATTGCATTTGCTCTGATTGTCTTCTAAGAGCAAATGAGCCTATCTCAAATAATGCATATTTTATGACTACAGGTAGATAACCAGTAAGTGACACTCAGCAAGTTTTCTGGTAATAAGGGCAAGGTCCTTAATGTTCCAAAGAATGAGTTCTTAGAGTGATGGAGGGGCATCGTGCCTACTGCTGGGATGGATTTGCCTGGGGGGTTGCCTGCCTCTGTCTTCTGCAGTACAGAGTATTTTACTGAATGGTACCTCTCACTGCTGCATGCATCACACTTCACACGTCCATTCCACTCACCTGTTGAGCCGAGAAGCATCGTTCTCATTTTGCTTTGTTTTCATGTCCTCCCCTATAGAAGATAAGTTTGAAACCTAGTCAGAAAATCTTGAACCTGAAGCCATTAACTACCCACACTTTCATTTTATGGGACGACATTTTTCCTACATAGTCTTCACACTTTTAAATGAGAGGTTTCCATACAAATCTACTTTGGAAAATGATTCAGCCGTCGGGAGCATCTTTCACTTGCTTAAGATGACTCCCCACCCCCAACACACACACACACACACACACACACACACACACACACACCCACCACCACCACCACCACCCCCTTAAAATCAAGCATCTAAATGGGTCTTAAACAGGAAGTATTGCCTGCTAGAAAGAATTTTATTTCCTGGTGAAAGACAAGACGTCTTTTTAAAAAACCTCTAAATGTTAACAAGTAACCTTTTTATGGCGCATTACAAAATACTTCCCTTACCATGACATCATCCCATCCTTCCAGCAGGCCGCGGATTTTACGCAGGCGCAAGGAATGTGAATTCGGAAAGCAGTGGCTGGTGGCGCAGCTGGCGACTTGAGCTCCGCCTTGGATCTTTCGACACCAAATCTTACGCTCTTCATTTTTTCACATGACCTCTTGATAGGGTTGACGCTTGTTTTCTCTGGCCAATAACTTGGGGAATAAGGAAGCCAAGAAGAGAATGGGAGACTAATAGAGTTGTTAGGATGCGGGTTAAGCTGATCTCTGCGTATAAGCTTAGAGAGGCGAAATGGTTTACCCCGGGTCACTTGCCAATTAGTGTCTGAGCTGGGACCAGAACCCAGAAAAAAGGCATCAAAGACGTATGTGCCTTTTGAAACTACAAGCCTTTTTTCAACTCTCTGAATATGTCTTCTGGAAGCTTGGGGTTCTTTGAACGTAACTTGAATCAGAGCATTCTTGTGAGCTCTCTGAGAAGGCTCAGATCTAGCCCTTTTATCTCTGTGGCTAACTTTTCAGAAACGCTCTGAAACCGTTGTTGGATGCAGTAAAATGCTACTTTCTGGTACATAATCCCCACGCAATACTTAGGACCCATGTTACTGTTGTCAGGGCTATTTGTGTATCAGCAACAACAGAGACCCTCAGATGCTCCAATTTGAATATTAGATCGTTCAAAAATGATTTGAGCTTGGATGAACCATTTATTTAGGCTTCTTTCTTCTTGTTCAGTTCCATATATCTGCTTGAGTCCACTCACAGATCCAAGGAGAATGTTGTCCAAGTGAGGCAACTTACGACTTTTCAATGAATAACTTTTTTAAAGTGCCATTTGACTTGACCTATATCATAGGTCAAGTCACATTTTTAACATTTGCCTTTTGTGTCCATATTTATAGATCTATTCTGTTGATGAAGATGAAAAATCAATACCGAGCTTGGAAATTATCTTGCCACGTGATTTGGCAGATGGGTTTGTGAATAACAAGCGAGAAAGCTACAGATTTAGGTAAGTGGAGATCGCTCCTATGCTACTGTTTTATTATTGAGCCAACTCTGGTACACGGTCCATTGTGAAGTCAGGAAGGTGCCTGGGAGGGATACTAGGTCAAGTGTTAGACTATTAGCTGCAGGGTCGCAGTTCAAACCCACCAGCCACTCTATGGGGAAAGAGGAGGCTGAGTGAAGAAGACCATTGTGGCCATCCTAGGGGGAGCAGTTCTACACCACCCTGTAGGGTTGCTGGATGGACTCAGTGGCCATGGGCGAGTGAAGCTCTTAGTGTCTTCTATATGGTGAATGCAGTATGGCAGTATGGCAGTCTATCTCACTTAGTAGATAGAACACAAATGGCCTTTTCCCAATGGGCTGAAGGTTGAAAAGATGGTGTATGTGTGTATCCAAGATCATAGTCTAAGATCTCAGCTTTTCTTTCCCGCCTCTGTTGATCTAGTTCCAGGTCCTTGCCTTAGTCTAGGTAGACTAGAGAAACAAATTCACAGACATACTCATATGTATATAAGAAAGAGGTTGATATACGAGAGCAATTGAATATTAAGAAAATGTCCCAGCCCAGTCCAGATCAAGTCCATAAGTCCAATTTTAGGCCATATGTCCTATGCAAATCTATAAAGTCCTCTTCAGACTCACGAAATACTTGCAATGATGCCGAATGCAGGAGGATCACAGGCCAGTCAGTTGGATGTCTTGTGGACCCAAGGGCATTGTAAGCATCTCAGCACTGGCAGGGGTCTCTATGTGGCTTCTCTGGCTCCAGAGGTCTGGTTACATCAGGGTAGGTCCGTGTGGCTTCTCCAGCTCCCAGGGTGTAGCGCAACATGTCTTGTCAGTAGAGTGTCTCTCAGGGAGTGAGTCTTGTCAGTAGAGAGTCTCCAAGGGAGTGAGCAGAGAGAGAGAAGTGTCTTCCACCTCCCAGGAGGAAAAATTCTGGAGTTCCCAGAATTCCCAGGGGAAGGCCATGCCCACACAGAGGCCACATTGACTATGACCTGATTGACAGGCTAGACTCCACCACTACACTCTCAGTCCTCAAATTGACACCAGATTATGTAACTCCCACAGTCATCCTTTTCCTACACCTGGCCAACGGTGCTTTAGCACTTGAGGGAGTTCAGCACACAGCTAAACTTACTGAAGATAGGGATTTCATCCAAGGAGTTTCTCTATAGCGCAAATGATACAGGGACCGCATGTTTGCTTACGCACATGCTTCCGTACTTACATACTTGCTGTATCTGTGCAGCCCACCACTGTGTGGCCCCTACGCACAACACAGGCAGCTCTTGAACTTGAAATGTGGCTGCTCTGAATTAACCTATGTTAGGAGTATAATTGGTAGCTTTACCTTTTGTCACTCTTATTTAATAAAGGTTTCTTGATTTTGCCTGCACTACCTTTTGACTTGTCCATACATACACCCCCCCACCTCCATCCCTATTTCATATCACATCTCTTTTCATCATAAGTGCACACCGGAGTGGTAGCACTTGAAGCCATGACAGAGACAGTCCCCATCGGATCTCTGTGATCCCAACATCTTTTGCTATATCCTGTAAGAAGTAGCCCATAATTAATACATCGTGCACTTTTTTGAAGGGGGCATCTGCCCGCTGATGTGCGCATGCTACATACTTAGTTACTGTGACTTCAGGGAAACTGACTTAAGCCAGACTTCAGAAAGCAACTCTTTGCTGAAACATTTTATTCAACATGGGGCTCTGTTGGATTGAGGAACAACCGACCCCATTGCTATCTTTTGGCTTCATGCCGAAGCCGTGCTTGAATTACGGAGCCACAAACAGAGCATCTAAACCTATGCCTATTGGGGAAAAACCAGAACGGAAACGGAAACCACCATTTGCTTATTTTCATGTCTCTGCATTCTTCCCTCTGAGTCAGAAATATTGGCTTTCCCATTTAAAAGAAAGAAATGAGCAATGGTATAGTTTGGAGAGAAATATTTAAGCATCTGAAGGGATGTTCTCCCCTCAAGCAAATCGTGTAATCAATAAATATCGTAAATGTGTGGAGCGGCGGGCTGTGTTATGGTGCTCACAGGTGTGGTGGGCGGAGAGAGCCGAGCATGGCAAACACCGTGGAGAAGAAGGCAGGGAGAGGAGGATCATGAGGAGCCACAAAGGCAGTGATGGCATGACCAGAAAGGCACCTTGGAAGCCAAGACCGGAGGAGATGGAGAAGCAGCCGCTTGGTTCTTAGCTCGGTTCTCAGCGGTCAGAGGATTTCAGGGAGAGGGAAGAGTGTGTGGGAAAGTACCTGGCATGTTGAGCAGCGGGATCTGTGGGACTAGCGAGGGACAGAGGAGAAGAGAATGAAAGTGGTAGTAGGCTCAGGGACAGGGCAGATCCTAAAGGCCTTTAACTATGATTGCAAGGTTTTAGGCTTTTCCCCAAGTGTGGCAGGAAGGCCATGGAGGCTTCTAATGGAGGAGTGAAATAATCTCACGTTTTCCCAGGCTCCCTTGTGGAGATAAGTACCAACAGACAAGGCCTGGGGGTAGGGGTGGGGTGGGGCAGTTAGGCTATTTCAGCAACCCCAGCTTGCCGCAGGGTGTTAGCAGTGGACATCCTGGGAAAGAGTTGGACTGTAAGATCAGAGTTGATAGGATGCACTGATGAGTTGGGGATAGAGTGCAATAGAAGGAGAGCCCAAGAACTGAACGCTTGGAAGGATGGCCTTTTCTGTTGCTGGCGTGAGGAAAGGGGAGCCCTCGCAGTGTGGTGGTTAGACATTGGGCTGCGAATGGCATGGTCAGCAATTTGAAATCACTAATAGCTCGGAGGGAGGAAGACTCGACTTTCTACTCCTGCAAACAGTCTCAGGAACCCACAGGGGTTTGCTGTGGGTCAGCATTGACTGGGTGGTAGTGAGTTTGTTTTTTAGGGGAGGTGAGGAAAAGGGGGCCCAGCGGCTTTGTGAGTTAAACACCAGACTACTCATCTCAAAGTCGGTAGTTCCATCCCACCAGCTACGCCACGAGAGAAAAAGGAAGCTGTCTGTTCCCCTAAAGACTTACAGTCTCAGAAACCTTAAGCCTCAGCTTGAATCTGTCCTGAAGGATCAGACCCAACCCAATGGCAGTGAGTTCCGGTTTGGGATGAGGAAGACTACAGGGAGAACAGGTTTGGTGAGGGAGGTGATCAGAACACTTTCCGTCTGAAGTGGATTTTAGACAAAGGCACTAACCATTCTCTGATACACGCAGGACCTCCTGGGAACCAAGAAATCGAAGTTACGCCGCAAAACATGTTATTGATTAGCTTCAGCAACATCAGGAAATGACTTTGTCCGTGTCGGCCTCTACTTCTTCCTCGGCAAAAGATTAGACGGAATTTTATTAAAATCCTGTCTAACGCTGCAATTTTATTTTTCGCCTCAGTGGTTTTCGGAAGATTGCTGATCATAATGCCTTTTCAGATTACTGTGTGACTACATTGCAGAAAATGAAATATTTTTTGATGATGATATTTGATGTTTAATATGCATCATGTGATTTATTGTAAACATTGGTGCGGGGGAAAAAAAAATCTCCATTTCTAAAATGTGTCGGGGAAAAGCCAATAAATGGAGCCCGTCTCCAGGGCTGGTCGTTCTATTGCCTGTTATTTTAAATAGGGGAGGATGTAATTTTTCCTCAACGAATTCAATATGCTTTATCGGTATTGTATTAAAATTATATTCTCCCCAAATTTAAACCTTGTTAGAAGTGCCTGCTACATTGTCGGCACTCAATACTGGTTTGTGGAATGAATAGCTCTATTAGTGATTGAAAGTGCTCCAATTAATTTTGGATAAAGTACCTTTCGGCACAGGTTTTGTGCCTGATGCAATGATCTTGCTGAAAACTCCATCATCTCTTTGGCTCATACCCAACCCAACACACTGCTGGCCTGGCTAGAACAGAGTTGAGCTCCTTCCAAGTCTTTGCAAATCTTTCTGGAAGTAGACTGTCTTGGCCTTTCCATTAGCACTTTACCACTGCCCCGTCTTACCATGCCTCCCTTTTGGTGCCCGCGGTTGTATAGAGAATCCATTTTGCGTCTGAAAGAATGGGTAATGACAAGGAAGAATAACTGACGGATGCACTCAGTTATCATCCCCCGAAACACTGCCAACAATTGTGTTCCGATGTTGTTGTTGTCAGTGCTCTGAGGAACAAGTGGGCAGCCAGGGCCCCTGCTATCTCAGGTCCCAGGCTGTAATACACCCACAGGGTTCTGAGGAGTGTTGTGGGCGCAAGGTACATTCCCTAAACTTTGTGGTCTGAAATATTGTCTTGCGTGCTAACTGCCACAGTATCCAGACTACCTTAGAATCTCTCTTTGTATGACTTTCACCCGTTTGTTTCTATGAACGGGGTGGGGGCGAGGAGGGATCGGCTCCAGGGATCTTTTGAAGTTCATGTTGGCTAAAGACGGTTTCATTCCATCTTACATTTCCAGTTTAGTCCAAGACATCCTCCTGGAAGCCTCAATTGGAAAGGCAGTCCTAGAGGTCATGATTTTCAGTGTTTAATTGAACACGTGCTCTTGGATGGGCAGTCACCTGTACCTCAGAGGTTCTTCAGTTCGTCATAAAGCCACTCTCAGGGCAAGTGTTTGTTTGAAAGGTTTTGCTTTAAAGTTTCTTCCTCCCATTTTCATTCTGAGAATTTTAACATTTGCTGAAAAGGTGGAAGAACAGCCCAGTCCATCAGTACTCACAAACCCTTTGTGAGAGATTTGTCAATTGTTAATACTTTGCCCATTTGATTTTCTGTCTGTTGTTCTCTCTCTCCCTCCTTTTTCCTCTTCTTCCTCCTCCCCTCTCTCCCTTCCATCATGATGTTTCCATGAAGGCCTTACTAACTAGTAGCATCTTAAACCATAAAACCAAACCCCAAATGTATTGAGTCAATTCTAACTCACAGACACGCTCTAGGAAAGAGTAGATCAGCCCTTGTGGGCTTCCGAGGCAGTAACTCTGCACAGGAGCAGACAGCCTCCTCTTTCTCCCACAAGGCCACTGTTGGGTTTGAACTGCTGACCTTGAGGCTAGCAACCCAATGTGTAACCCAATGTGTTCTCCACCAGGGCTCCTCCCTGGTAGCACTTACCACACTGAAAAAATAATAGGTTGTCCGAGGATGCTTCTAAAAATTCATGGGACATTTTCGTCATCTTTTTATTCCGCTTGTTTCGTGAACTTTTGGACACACCCTCGTATGTTTCCACCACAGGTCTTCCACTGTGCTGTGATCATGTGATCATGTAAGCTTTTGGAATGGCCCTATGAGAATGACCCGGGCGCTTTAACACCTTCCCAAGCCTCTAGTCTGGCAGATGCAGACTTCTCTGTGCAGGGCTTCTCTCTTCATTTACCTTGTGACTTTTGACGAATGGTTAACAGAACAAAGCAAACCATCCTGAGGATGAAGTGGCCAATGGATAGTAGGACTCAGTGTCGAATCATTGGAGAATACATTTCAGCTCACTGTTTTCTCTCCATCGCTCTGTGCTTACAGGTCAGACACCAAGCATTTGGCAGTTATATCCTGTTCTTGGGTTTCCATTCCAGGCAGTTATCTACACTTGAATCCAGTGCCAATTGTACACACTGTCCCTCCTGAGAGCTGAAAACACACACACACACACACACACACACACACACACACACACAGTCGATTATTTGGTTCAAAGCGGCTGCAGTTTTTCAGAGGCATTTATTGTGCAGATGGTGTCAAAGCAATACTGTTTTTCCACCCATTTGCGTCCAGGAGGACAACAGCACAGTGTGCTTGGGACTACAGGGAAACATTGTGTTCAGTTAGGTAAGCCCAGTGATGTAAATTTGGAGCATGTTGCCAAGCAGATAAACAAGATTTATGAATTCAGTGGTGTTTTGAAGACTTGGCTTTGAAATATCCATCATTTTAACATTTGCAGATTTCAAAGGATTTTTGATCAGGATGCAAAGCAAGACGCCATTTTCGAAAGCATCGCCAAACCCGTGGCTGAAAGGTAGGATTTCCTCATATTTGCTCCAGTTGGCTAATGATTTTTCATCTGCTCGTCCATCCTAAAAGAATTGTGGTGATGTGCGTCAGTGTCTCACTTGTATTCACAGCCTGCAGTACCTGCAATGGTGATCCCTTCTGTACAGATAGCCCCTGACTCAGACCTGTGGTCATCTCATAGAGACCCTGTAGGACAGGGTGGCACTGCTCCTGTGGGTTTCCAAGACTAGAAATCTCTCCTGGAGCAGAAAGCCTCCTATTTCTCCCACAGAGCTGCAACTCTGACTGTGACTCAATGGTAGTGTGTTCATTTTTAATTTTTTGATACTTTTTTGGGTCTGCTTGTATTATTTCGATGCTGAGCCTCAACACAAACTAGCAAAGGACAGCATAGCTATTAGTGTTCCCATTTTCAAAGCTATGTGAATAGGATCTCAGAGATGATGTGACATTGTTGAGGGTGGTAGGGCGATTGATGGTAGAGTCTCAGATGGGTTTCTGTTCATTCCAATGATCTTTCCTCTGTACAGCGTTTCAAACACGATTGGATGATAAAGGATGAGGTATACCCCGGGGAGGCTTAATACTGGTTGGCCCATGGCGACTCTACCTCAGGGTAATAACTAATTGGCTCTTAGCTTCCTAGGTGCCTTTTGTTCCTGTGTAGCCAGATAGTTCCAGGCTGCTGACTATTAGAACCACACTCATCTGAGAATAAGGGATAAGCCAGAGTGTCAATTTACTAATCTGAGGAGGCTTCAAAAACTCTGTGGGAAAGTAGGAATGAAAAAAACAAACAAACATGACCATGACATTTTTCCATGGGCTTTTTGAATCCCCCTTGGATATAATAAGGGGTCATGGTGCCACTGTTGGATAAAGTCTGGAATTCAAACCCACGGCCCGCTCTGAGGGAGGAAGATGAGGCTCTCTGCTTTTGCAAAGACGTACAGCCTCAGAAGCTGCCTGGGCTGCAGGGCAGTGGGTTCATGTATCATGGCAACTTCCCCTCGGGAGCAGACGCTGACGCAAGCCCTCTGGTAAATCCACTCTTCTCTTGTCAAGAATCAGTGGGAAATGACCACTCATAATAAATGGTCCTAGAACCGTTGGGGTGATTTTAGTGACTTCATAACCTTCAGGTATACCCATCCTTATGAGGAAAGGATGTCCATGTATATTTGGTACATACTTATACACACCCAGATGGATATACACGTGTATCCAATTTTTGATCCATGCATCAGTGTATCCTTCCCTGTGGCTGAAAGCATGTTGCCACAGTCTGTCCCTCATCCTCCTGTTTTGTGAAATGTAACTCAAAAGAAGCCATTCTCGCTTAGCACCATATTCCCACTGGATCAAACACAACCAAGGATGTACAACACTTATGCTATTTTAGGAATACTCACAAGCCAAGATGCTCACAAACGTAAAGAATCTGGGTCGCTTTGGGTGCCAGGGATTTGTGAAATCTCCTTCCTTTTTGTAATCATTTGAGTTTGTCTTTTTTTCAGATAGCTGGTCACATCTGTTTTATTTTGAAACTTCCTAAAGTTTTTCAGGTAGAGAACCATCCTTTGTTTTCAGCATGACTGGTTTTTGCATCCATTCCTGCCCACCCCTCCCACCTTGATTCCACTTCCCCTTCCAGCCACTGCCCTTTTGTTTCTGTATAGCCTTTTGTCTGCTTTTCCTTATGGGAAGTGTCATTGGAAATAATATGACATTGGTGATTCACTGGGCTGCCAACCACAAGGTCAGTAGTTTGAAACTACCAGCTGCTCTGTGAGAGAAAGATGAGGCTTTCTACTCCCGAAACAGTGACGACAGTGACCCCTGGCCCAGTTTTTCTCTTGAGCCCCGTGCCTGAGGCACACCTCACTGAGGTTGCTGTTGCCAAAGCCAATGGCTTCCATTTGCTAAATCCAATACTGGTAACTTCTCAGTCCTTCTGCTATTTGATATGCCTGTGATTTGGCACAGCTGACAACTCCATCCACCTTGAAATACTTTCTTCACTTGGCTTCTGAGATGCTACCCTGTCTTGTCCCCCCCCACCCTCCCATGTCACTAGAAACTCCATCTCCGTTACTTTACTTGGCTTAAAGTGTATAGATTTGTCATTGGCTCTTACAGTCTCTCTGCCTGGAATCCTCTTCCTTCCGAAATCTGCCAGATCGATTCCTCATGCAACTTGAGGCTTTTGCTTATTTGTCTGCTTTCCAAGAAGGACATCCATGATTTGCTACTCTGTTGAAAATTTCATTCCCATCACACTTCCCTGTTTCCCTCTAGCATTCAGTACCATACGCTATAGAGTTTGACTATTAGTTCATTTTATCTGTCTTCCCCTTCTGCTGTAGCGAAGGCTGCATGACGTCAGGGGATTCATAGTCAAGGACACCCAACTCCATGGTGACAAGTGCAGTGTCCCTCTTATTCCAGAGTTCTTAGGGGAGGACTCATCGGAGCAGAGCACAGACCAGACCAGATGGGACATTTGCTACTTCAATGGGACAGGGAGGAGCAAAAGAGCACACATCCTGATCAGAGCTATAGAGGTAGGCTCCCAACCAGAGGATTAGCTTACCTTCAGTACATCCCAATGTATGGCTTGGGAGGAGAACACCTAAATTCCTCTCTCTTGGGATTACATACTAATCAGACACCCATGTCTACATGCCAAATAGCATGTAGAGAGAATAGGTGGAGGGGGCCAGTGAAAGGGAGTAAAAGAGGGTAAAGAACAAAACCGAACCCAAAAAATTATGCCTGGTGGAGTTGATTTTGACTCATAGTGACCCAATAGGACAGAGTAGAACTGTCCCATTGGGTGTCCAAGGCTGTCCAAGTTTTTCAGAAGCAAACGGCTCCGTCTTTCCTCCACGGAGAAGCTGGTGGTTTTGAACTACTGATATTTTCTTTAATGGGCAAGTACTTACCCTTAGACTCCTTAATAAAAGTGGAAGGCTCTCTCAAGCAATGGATATAATTTATTACTTCTGTTCAGAGTAGCCTAGATTTTCTGGCTGCAGCGGACAATCTTTCCTCTTTGACCCCACCGAGATAGAGTTCTGGGTTTCTTCCGAGAACAGCCATCTTCTCCTCAAGCACATACTTTACATCCATTAGCACCTAGGAAGCTGGCAAAGGGGCAATTGGATGAATAGTGGTACAGTGGACCGTGTGTTGGACTGCTAACCACAAGGTCTTCAGTTCAAAACCACCAGCTGCTCCATGGGAGAAAGGTGAAGCTCTCTGCTCTGTAGAGATTTATAGTCTTGGAAACCCTCAAGAGCAGTTCTACTCTGGCCAACAGGGTCACTTTGAGTAGGAATCGAGTTAATAGCAGTTAACTTGTTTTTTTCGTTTGTTTTTGTTTTTAAGTGAATTCAGGGACAAGATTACAGAAATTAAAGACAAGAGCATTTTTTATCTCAGCAGCTCAAGCTGCGCATAGGGGAACATATCTCTTATCAAAAAGACATATGTCTTTTAAAACGTTTCCTTTTTGAGACATTTCTCCCATCTTTTCATGAAATAGCCCTGTTACAATCTTAAGTAGAGTGCTAGGAAATAGAATATGCCCAACTACAGATCCTGTTATCTTTAATTGCTACCTTTTAATGGTTTGGATTTCTGATGATTACCTTAATAGTATGGAGCTGCTCTGCCCATTTTATTTCTTTTTTTCTATGTATCATAGGTTCTATAATAGTTTTCTTGATTTATTTTGGCAGTTTTATTCTTTTCTTTTGCGGTGTGGCTGTCCTGTGTTCCCTCTGAGTTGTATGCTCTACTCCAACCCTTCCAGTGCTTATGCGTTTAGCTTGCGTTCCGATACCTAAGTTTATTTATGTTTTTTCAAGACTTATTAACAGCAGTCAGTAGGCAGATGCTACATCTTATTTGATGAAAGGGAGAAGGATTTGCATCACTTGCTGAGGAAGATCTAGGATTGCAGCCTTCAGTCTGGATTGCAGCTCAAGGTAAAGAAAACAAAACAACACCTCACAACTGGACCAATGGCCAACACCACGAGAAATGGGAAAATGATTGATTCTATCGAGGATTTCATCTTCTTGGATCCACAATCAGTGCTCAGTCAGGAAATCAAATGACATACTGCATCAGGCAAATCTGTGCAGAAGACCTCTAGGAAGTGTTCAAGAGCAGCATGTCCACTTTGAGGACTAGGGTGCACTGATGGAAGCCACAGTATTTTCAATGGCCACATATGCACATGAGAGTTGGATAATGAATAAGGAAGACAACAGAAAAATGGACACATTTGCATTAACGTGTTGTTGAAGAATATTGAAAATGGAGTACCATAAGAACAAACAAATCTGCCTCGGAAGAAGAACTGCCAGATGTGTCTTAAAACTGAGGCTGGAAAACCTGGTCTCTTTTACTTTAGTCATAGTATCAGGAAAGATCAATCCCTGTGGAAGGATATCCTGCTTGATAAAGTAGAGGGTCAGTGCATGAATGGAAGACCCTCGGTGAGATAGATTCACCCAAGGGTCCAGCAGAGGCTCAAACTGAACAATTGTGAAGATAGCGCACCATGTAGACAGAAAAATAAAAACAAAAAACATGCCCACTGCCACTGAGTTGATTCTGACTCATGGAGATCCTACATAGTGTTCCTGAGACTGTCTATCTTTATGGGAGTAGACAGCCTCATTGTTCTTTTATGGAGTGACTGATAGGTTTGAACCTTTGACCTTGTAGGTAGCAGCTCAAAATCTAAATCATGATGCAACCGGGGCACCTTACGTATGGAATACAGAGAGAGAAGTGGACTCTGCTGATCCTCAGCCAGGTTGTTGTTGTTCGATGCTGCTGAATCGGTTCCAAAGGACAGTGAACCCATGTCTGACAGCACAAACACGGCCTGGGGCGGCACCATTCCCACAATTGTTGTGGTTGTGCCCATGTTGTAGCCACGATGCCAATCCACCTTGCTGAGGGTCTTCATTTATTTGCATTGACCCT